TTTGACAGTTCAATCCAATGACGTCATAAAAGTCTTAGATATTATAGGCATCTATGGAAGTGGGCCATACATTTTACCATGACTTTTGCCCTCCTGTTAATTTTGACCAATCAGAAGTGATAATTTTGGTGTCAAAAATAATTTTTAATTAAAAAAATTGCCTGCCATCAGCTGTCAGAAAGTTTATTCGGTTTTTCCCACAGCAAAACTTTACAAAACGGCAAAAAGAAGAAATCTGCAAAAAAATTGTAGCAAGAATATGCAAAAAGTTCAACGAAATGTACCCTGATTTACGACCAATGAAAGAAAGAAAATTTGTTCGGACACAATAGTTATTTGTATACCAAGGCCGCGAAATGCCTTTTTAGCGTACGTAGAGAAATGTTATCGCCGAGGCAAGCGGCCGAGGCAAGATACTCTCAAGTACGCTAAAAAGTTTCGCGGTCATGGTATACACACTATTTTTTGTGCAACTATAAAAATTATGTGAAGTTACAGAAAAACTGTATGAATTTGACAAGGATTTGACCCATTTTGCACGTCAGGTGTGGCGGCCGCGAAATTGAATTTTGCGGACGGTTGCACAAAAAATAACTTTATACAATTTGGTTCAAAACTTAAGAATGAACCAAGCTTACCCAAGCCTGTAACGTCTGATGAAGAAACATCGTGAATGTTTCAGCCTACTTTCACGCATATCCCCAAGCTTCCATCCGAAGGGTAGCAGGTGATTTAGGCCTGAGCTATTATTATGTGCAGAAAATTTTTAACGATCATAATATGCATCCCTTTAAATTCACAAAAGTGCAACAGCTCAAACCGGATGATTACCAACGTCAAATTCGATATTAAGAGACACTTCTGACACACACTTATGAGTAACTAAACTTTCTAAAAAAAAAATATTATGGACCGATGAAGCTAAATTTTCTAGAGAAGGTATTTTTGATAGGAGAAATCAACACTTTTGTGCTAATCAAAATCCACATGCGGTGAAGGAAAAAAGATCCCAAACCCCCAGTTGCAACAAAATAGGTTGTGACAGTATTTTTTCTACTACCTCACGTAAAGTACTCACTTTATGCATTATTGCGAAGACGTTAAATTTCACTTCACACACTAGTGCGTAAAGTAATGTCAATGACAGATGTCGACACTGTCAATTTAGTATTTTTCTTTTTCTGGTAAATTACTTCACGCACTAGTGCGTGAAGTATTTGTCTAAATTTATTTTTCTCACATATTTCATTGATAGTAGAAAAAATGTTGTATGCAATAAGTATGTACAGTACCTTTTTTTACTCATGTGATTGTCGCACGTCACATTCGTGAAAAAAAGTTCACTTAACATATTTGTTACTGCTATTTAATAAGACATAATTTTTAAATACCTATAATCAAATTCTTACAGAAACTTGTCTGTATTTCCGAAACCTTACTATTTAGGTATAGGAACATGATTCATCATTTTTAAGGGATTTTAATTGCCTCTCATAATATTTCATAATATACAGGGTGTTCTATTTGAAAAAGTGCACTTTTCATCTTTTTTGTACCTGGCAGCACAATTACTAATTTTGACCAACCCTGTATAATGGAGAACAAATTTTCTTGCTCAAAAGTAATATGTAGGACCTCCCTAAGTTATCTCCAAAATTTAAACTTTCTACGAATCTCAGGGACGTAATAATACAAATTTTACTAGAGCTATGTTTTGAAGAAAAAATAAAGAAATTAATTAATAAGTGGAAAATCACTAGAGATAGGTATAGGACAGTATTATACAAAAATGATCAGAAAGTAATAGCGGAGCGAAAAATGCAATAATATACAGGGTGTCTCATTTAAAATTTCAAAGTTCATATTACTTTTTGGTATAAGGGGCAACGTCGCATCGTTGAAATTATTTTAGATTGATAGATCAGGAGCAATTACTTGGGCATGCAAATTTTCAAAAATATCCAACATTCCGTTTTCCATAAACGTCTAACCTACCATCGACCATCAATCACCCTGTATAAAGCCCGGTATTAGTTAGTAGTTTGACTGTGATATGATTAAGATAGTGATTGTTGTTGAGAATTGAAAAGATTTTAGTTGTTTGAGTAATTTCGTGAAGTAATTAGTGTCAGAGTGTATAGTAACGTGGAATAAATTATTGTTGTGTTAATTGGACTTTGAATTTGGAACTACCCAAGATTTTGGTCACGCTGAGGCGCTTTTATCGTTTTGGCATACATGCCAGAATTTTGCTGGGGGGTGATCTGAATATAAATTTTATGAAGGAATCGACAGATAAGCTAGAACTTGAAAATTTATTGATTTCTTACAACTTAGGTATGTTGGTCCATCAGCCCACGCGAATTACAAATCGAACTGAAAGTATTTTAGACTATATATGTATAAATTTTGAATCAACCGAGGTGTGTTGTGATATAGTTCCAGCAGCCCTCTCTGATCATGAGGCGATTATAGTGTGTTTTCCCCAACTAATAAATGAGAAACAGGTCGAGAAGCCTAAGTATCGTAGAATCTATAGCAGATCCAATTATGAAAAATTCCAAAATATTGCTGACCAGATGGATTGGAGAAATGTTGTGTCTTCAAATAATCCTATTCAGCAATTCCACTCAAAACTTGAAGTACTGTTCAGAAATTTCCCATTAAGGAAAATGAGCGAAAAAAACCATGGGTTACTAAAGGCATTAAAATTTCGGGTAATAATTTGAGGTTTTTACACACAATAAGAAAGTTTTGTGATGATATAAACTTTATAATTTATTTTAATAAATACAGGGCTATCTACCGAAAAGTAATAAATTCGGCAAAAACATTTTTTTTAGAACGAAAAGATAAACGGAGCTCAAAACAAGGCCAAGGAAAGCTGGAAATTGTAAAATATTTAAAGGGGGATACTAGTGCGAAAATAAGTGTAAACATAGGACCTATATATTGAATTCTTTTTACTGTTCAGTTGCGGCGAAACTAACTTCTAATCTTTCAGTCGGCAGGGACCCCATCGATTATTTGTCTCATGTGAATGCAGCCAACTCTTTTTTCTTAGTCCCTACAGACATATATGAACTGAAAGATATCATAAGAGAAATAAGGAATAAAAACTCGTCAGGCAGCGATGAAATTCCTTTGACAGTTTTTGAATATCTTCCTGTGGTGGCACTTCTTAGCCTGGTGGAGGCAATACATTGTTCATTTCTGGCGGTGATGTTTCCAGATTGTCTGAAGTTGGCGGTTGTTGTTCCCATTTACAAAAGCGGAGACACAGGTCTCCCTTCAAACTTTCGCCCAATTGCACTGCTTCCAACTCTTTCAAAGATAATCGAAAGGTTATTTAAGAAACGGTTACTAGGATTTCTTCTCTCCCATAAAGTACTTTCTGAACACCAGTTTGGATTTCGGGCTGACAGGAATACTGATGATGCTATTTTCTCTTTCTTGGAGAATTTGTACACCAAACTAAACGACGGAGAGGTCGCTGCAGCAGTGTTCTGCGACTTCTCCAAGGCGTTTGACTGTGTCAGTCACAGGACGCTATTGTCTAAGCTGGAGTGCTACGGGGTAAGGGGCGTTGCTTCGAATTGGTTCAGGTCATATCTCTCGGGTAGAAGGCAGCTGGTAAAATGCAGCGGGAACATATCTGATACAATGGAAATTAATACAGGTGTTCCACAGGGGTCTGTTTTGGGCCCTCTTCTATTTTTGATATACATCAATGATATGACTCGTATAGACGTACAGGCAAGATTTACAGTATTTGCAGATGATACTACTCTCTTGTGGAGTGGTAAGAATGAGAGAGAATTGATGACCGTGGTACAGAGCGACCTCAACAAGATAAAATTGTGGTGTGACTGTAATTCTTTATGTTTTAATGTGGATAAAACAAGCGTTCTGGGTTTTAGGTTTGATTCGGGAGATGTAGTTTTTCAAGATGGCGAGATACATCAAAGAGACTCTACAAGATTTTTGGGCGTAATCATTGACAAAAGGTTGAAGTTCACAGAGCACTTGGAGCATTTGTGTAAAAAATTATCTAGGGAGTGCTATGCTGTAAGGGTGGAGTCAAGGGAATTAGGACGGCATATAGCCAGGAGTGTATACTTTTCCTTGATTGAATCCCATCTTCGCTATGGGGTGGCCTTTTGGGGTTATTGTAATGCAACATCTTTAAATGCGGTCCTGATACTGCAGAAGCGGGCCTTGCGATATATTTGCAATGCAAGGACGCGAGAACATTGTAAACCCCTTTTCATAAAGGAAAAGATCCTTACTGTGGTCTGCTTATTTATATTGGAAACGGTCTGTTTGTTGCATAAAAGATTCAAAGGCCAGAGACGCAATTCTGCCTATGCCACGCGTAATGAGTGGGACTTACCTCTCCCAATTCCAAGGTCTGGTTTAACCAAGAACTCGGTTATATTTGAAGGTCTTAAAATATATTATAACCACCTGCCGTTGAATACAAGATCAATTCACTGCAGCAAAAATTTTAGAAAATCTGTTCAAAAAATGCTTTCTACTAGGCCATACTATAGCATAGGAGAATATCACTGTGATATATTAACATGATTGTTTCTTTGTAATATTTTGTTGTTTTTCTGGTTTTGTATTTAACTTGACAATTTTTTTTGTTTTAATTTTTTTTGTTTTTAATGTTTTTATTTTTGATGAGTATGTTGGCTTCGCCCGGTGGTTTTTATTATATTTGTAAAGAAAAAAAATAATAATAATAATTATAGCTTATTTTGATTTAATTTTTTATATTAATTTGTAAGTGCTATGGTGATAGTGATGCTAGTTGACATTCGTCAACAATTTTTTAATGTGTTACCTTCAATTGTTGTGAATCATTTTATTTTTATCCTTGTTATGAAGTTAGATGTATGATGAATTAGGATTAAGGCCTGCTTTGTCTACAACATTAATAATTGTTTTTTGACAATAAAGCTTATTTGATTTGATAAACAAGTTATCTTTTTCAGGTATTTGGACACGTTTCCGGATCTCACATCAACCCAATAGTCACAGTGGCAGCAGCCACATTAGGAAACATTCCGCTAATCCAGGTTCCAATTTATTTTTTGGGCCAACTTTTGGGAGCCCTCGTTGGCTATGGGTTATTGAAGGTTCGTCTAAAGATTTATTAATGTTCTTATTTTCCAATGGTCTTATTGAGCCATGCTCATCTAGCCACGTACAACAAAATTCAATAAAAAAAAAACATTTCCAGGTTGTTACTCCTAATCAATTTATGGGCAACGTCTTCGTCCAAGGAGCCAATGGTACAGTACACAAAACTTTAGGAGTCTGTTCACCAGCTTTGCATCCAGAGGTTACTGCATTCCAAGGCTTCCTGGTGGAGTTTTTGGCAACCCTTATTTTGGCTTTGGTTTGTTGCGGCGTTTGGGACCACAGAAATGGAAACAAGCACGATTCTGTACCTATTCGTTTTGGATTCACCATTGCCGTTTTAGCTATGGCAGCTGTAAGATTTTTTTTTGTTAAATAATAGGTTTGTTCGGACTTAGTTTAGAATCAGTTCTGAATTGAGCTGCGCATGCGCATTTGTTTATTTATGTTCGATATCAACAAATGCGCAAGCGTAGTTCAATTAGAACTGATTCTGAACTAAGTCCGAACAAACCTAATACTAATTTAGTAAACTAAGGGTGGTTCAGAAAATAATTTTCTTATTGTCTAATATTTTGGTCTAAATTAGATCTTAGGGCCAGGAATATTATATATATTATCAAAATCCCCGAATACCATAATATATGTTGTAGGGATTAGGATTAGGGCCAGGAATAAGGTTTAATTTATAATTGCAAAGGTTTCGCAATATTTGATATTGAGGTATTCGTTCAATCAGGTCGAAACATTTTTCGCAATAGGTGGTGAATTCGAAATTGAAAAAAAGAACAATACCTAGTTAATAAATATTAAAAATAATAACTTGAGAATAACTACACAGTCAATAACATACTAAATACTATGTAACATCAAAATAATAACTATGTGTATTCTCCTTGAAATACTACCAAAACCTCTAGTACAAAAAATATAATAATTACATTAATAATTGCATTTTATACCATTTAGGGTCCATATACTGGAGCGAACATGAACCCTGTGAGAAGTTTTGCACCAGCTCTCTACAACGGAGACTGGCAAAACCACTGGGTAAGTAATTTCCATATACCTAAAATATATGTTGCCTTTATTATTATTATTTTTTTAGCTGTACTGGGCTGGACCTCTTCTGGCCGGCTTCGTAGGTGCCATCATGTACAGACTGATTTTTGCCAAAGACCCGCCAAGAAATGATCAAATCCCGGAAGCACTACCTTTAAACGATCACAACAAAGCTTAAATATTTGAGTAGCTGATAAATTTTGTTTGCCATTGTTACTTGCCCAAGGAGACCAAATTTTAATTACTTTCAATTTTCGTAGTTTGGTCATAGCCAAAGTCTGATTTTGTAGGTCCTTTAAAAATATGTAATTTTATGAGATTAAATTAAATGATTATGTTTTAATGGGCGTGCGTAATTCAAAATCGTTGAAAAAAATAAAATTACGTTATCATACCGTTTTTGATTTTCATGCAAACTGTATATGTTTTCATAACAGAACAAAATAAAACTGAGACCTATGTTCTAAAAAAATTCAAGTTATTCAAATTATTGCTGAGACTGAGAAAGAAAATGCAATTAGTGAAAGCCCTTTAAGAATAGACGATGTTGGAAAAACAATGTAGGTATACAGCTCTCTTCTAATAACAAACTCTGACCTTAAAACTACAACTTAACAAAACGTCTAAAATAAAATTCATTTAAGTTTAGAAAAGTAGTCTCACTTATCTATTCTATGAACCTGCTTACGTGACAATATAAAAAAGTTCCAAAACTGCCGTTAAAAGAAAGTAGAAAACTCAGAAGAACAAGCGTTTGATATTGTGGAACTCTGGTTCATCACAATGGCACTAAGAAATACAGAACTTGATTTGATCAAACAAACCTACATAAACCTCATCCAGAAAATATGAGAAATGGCAATACTACAGATGAAATTTTACGGAAGTCAAAGTTGATATAGGAGAAAGGCTTGAGGACATAATCTCGCCGGGACTATTCACGATGCTTGAGGTCCTTCAGGATGTGTTCAAGAATCTGGAATTGGAAGATCAGAAGGCTATTAATCAGAAAAAAACATCATTAAAGACGCAATAACGATGAGAATACTGTGCTCTGATTGGTTTATTTTTCGAAACTTGGTTTAAGTTATTTCAAAAAACGGCACACCAGAATTGGCTCAAATTTGGCATAAACATTCTTTGATCGATTATCTACAATTCGCTTATTTTATGGCGTTTCCGATTGGTAGATTTAGTGCGGAACTAGTGCAATTTTTTCTATTTCTCTCTTTTTCTTCTACAGGTCGATTAAAAGGATGCAAATACACTCAGTGCGCACTGAATCTACCAATCGGAAACACCATTAGTTTTTCGATATTCTGCTTTTTTTTTTAATTCAAAAATCATGTTCGCAACCACCAAAACAACTAAATGTGTTGGTGGTTGCATATTTGCATGTTTATCAAGCTCCGCGAAAATCATATTTTATTGATAACCACGAAAAACTGAAAAAAGCTAATGGTAGATAATATATCAAATAATGTTTATGCCAAAGGATTTTGCAAGTTATTGCGGACTTTTTGAGATGACCTTAAAACGAAATTTGAAGGTGAAAAATGGTAAAAATTTAACAGTTACAGTTAAAACAATTTCAAGTAGATGGCGCCACGGCAAAAAAGCTACATTGGGAGCATCATAATTGTATATTTGTCTTTCTCTTTCACTAAGTGTTTCACTGACAAACAGATTTTATTTTGAACAAAAAATTAAATATTGAACCATATGTGTAGACTGGCGCATTCGTCATTTTCAAAAACTAAATTTCATGGCGGTCATTAACGCGCCTTAAACTCAAAAATGTCAATGAAATTTATTCCTAAAATATACAACGAACGCATCCTACCTGCCAGAATATATGCCGAACAATGAAGCCATAAAGTAACCAGATAGCGCCTGTGGGGTTAGAGAAGACCAGAATATTTTTGATTCACGGAACACAGCATTTTTGGGCTTAGCTAAATACTTGTATTGAATCAGCGGCGATCATTTTTTCCGGTGTGGTCGAGTAGTAGCATCCGCCCGCACTCGTAGCAGATGTGCTTATGTATAATAAATATTGTTGTAGATCGAATATCGCATATTGTATATTTCTTTTAAAATTTGCCCACTGACTATTATAAATGGTATCGCCATCTATAAAAAGATTCGGAAATTCACTCGGAAAATCAATACATTTCATTCTGGAATAAGGGTGGGGTGACATCTTTTATAAATGGTCCCTTTTCTCGCGCATCGTTAAACAACTGCTATTGGGGTTGATATTGGTTATTGTTCGAGTAAATTTCGAAAAAAAAATACAGATGGCGCAACGAAATAACAAATAGGTAAATTAAAAACAAAAGAAATATTTTTTTTATGGTAAAGAATACAAAATGTGTATCAAGTCCAAAAAATTATAATTTTTTCGATAGAAAAAATATAAAGTTTGTGTCATACTTTATGAAGCCTTGAAAATTATAGAGCGATTTCACCGACTCTTGGCGTTTGAGCATCCTCTTTGTCGATCTACCGTCTCGTAATTTTCCTGCCCAATCAAGCTCTCGTTTTGTAATGCTCTTATAGCTATTAATCATTCTACCTCTGTCGTATTTCTGCATTTTTCAGCTTGTCTGTTAACATTATACAGGGTGTCCCACGACGTTTATCCCAGGTAATAACTTCGGAACGCGTGATCCAATATAATTGAAATTTTGAGGATCTGGGTAACTTTTTGTGCCGCTTTTACCAATGTCATCCAATTTCACCACTTTCGCTTCAATTTCGATCAAGTGACGTCAACTTTCGAATCTTAAATGTAACTCATGGTATATTATGGCATTTTTCGTTAGAAAATTAAATTACAAAATCGGCAATGCCATATTTGTTAAGGATTTGTTAAAGAAAATGATAAAAAATTATACAGTGGAAGATACGAGGATGCGTTCTGGAGTTATCATTTGGGAAAAACCTCGTGGGACACCCTGTATTTATCTACAAACTACTCTTAATTTGATGTTTATTGTGTATTGTGAATCGAGGCTGTTGTTCCACATTCTTGCTTGGAGAGCAGCTCGTTTGATGTGTCGTTTTGAAGCATCTGCTGTAGGAGGAATATTTTCGATTACTTGATTTTTTCTTGTAAATAACACTCGTCTACATTCATTGATGTTCTGAAGATCTGATGCTCAATCATAAAGTAGAATAACAAAACGATGCAACAGATCATGACATTCATGTTCAATATCAGAGGTGCCTGTACAGAGCCGCTGCCGTACCTATACAATCAATTTTATGGAATGATATCCAGACCTTCCAAGCTGTCTTCTTGCCAAACTGCGTCGCAACCAGTAACAGAATGAAAAGCCAACAAATTTCTGCAAATTTCCGGTGAGAGTGTGGCACAAATCTTATGAATTGCCATGAATTTTCTGTATTTCCTACAACCATACTCAATCCATACTTCATCAATATCTTGTATTTGTGGGAACAGTTATATTGAAATAACCACTATATCTGTGTCCACAGTTCGTATTAGGAGGCGAAGTATGTCCACTTTCTACTGCATGCTCAACATGGAGAAGTAAACAGACATCTGCTTCTTCGTGTGAGGCGGGAGAAATGCTTGAAACATCCATAGTTGTTGACGCGAGAACTTGGTCATCAAAGGTACAGACAACATATGTTTTCCAAGATACTCGTCGCTCACCAGTTTGTCAGCGAGCAACTGGAACAATTGTGTCTTATTTCCGCTAATTTTTTTTTTTGGAATTCTAGTTGATTCTGAGACTCTAAAGCCCGTATTACATCTGTGTATTTTTCCGTGTATTTATTCATGTAGTTCAGGGTGACAACCGGAAAACTTCAAACGCAACATAAATCAGCAATATGAGAAACAAAATAATGTTGGCACCCTGAACTACATGAATAAATACACGCAAAAATACACAGATGTAATACACGCATAATAGTTATGCTACTTTACTTTCTCGGGTATCTGCCTTCAAACTCTTAGGTACTAACATATCTGTCGAATACAATATCTATTCGTGAACTATTCTTCAGTTGATTAGTGAAATATGCTTTGAAAACATGTTCAAAGTATTCAGAAAATGTGGTAGCATGTGTAGGATTAAGCATATTATTATTGTGTATTACAGCTGCTCCATCAAATAATTTAGCTGTTACATTCGGGTGGCTGTGATGGTAATGTCACGTTTTGTTTGAATGCAGTCAATAGTATCCAACTTGTTGAATAGATGGTGGGTACATTTGGTTTCCATGCGAAAAAAGCTCATCAATGTTTGTCACATGAAATCTGCAGAACAAGTTGGAATCTTTACGCAAGTTAACAATCTTGGACTTTGACTTATCTGTTTTTCTTGTAAAAGTCTTGAAGATGTGAATATTGGTTCAACGAATAATTTCATGGATTGAATTTTGAACTTGATCGGGACGGAACGAGACATATTTATCATACTGCTTCAGTCCCAAAGTAAATGCTTCCGTAACACACTTCACAGCTTCGACACTTGGAATTAGTTTTGGAGCTCCCTATTGACACCAAATCGGTTTCTTCAAACGGATTAACTTGTTTAAGACAATAATCATTTATTTGACATGGGCCAAAAACCTTTTGTCAAATGCATTGTTGTCCTCATGATGCTTTGCGCCCACGTTTCTATCATCTTTGAGTAGAGCATTTTCACTGCCAATTCCTTGCCAGGGCCGGCTCTAGGTATTTTGCCGCCCTGGGCAATGAGTAAATTTGCCGCCCCATCCCATGGCCTGAAAAAAAAAAAAACTAACATAAGAAAACGAGAAATATAACAAACAAAGTAAGAGTCAGCCAATCCAAGCTGTTGGCAACAATCAACAGATACATTATGTAGATATACCCTAATAGCGCAGAAAAGTTTCAAAAAAATCCTATCGGACGTCAAAACGTTTTAAAAACGTCAGTAAAAGTAACTGATGGCGTTACCGATTGGTAGATTCGGTGTGCAATGAGTGTATTTGCATCCTTTTAATCGACCTGTAGAAGAAAAAGGCAGAAATAGAAAAAAATGCCCTAGTTCCGCACTAGATCTACCAATCGGAAACGCCATGAGAATATCCAAAGGTGCATTTTTATTTGGTGCAAATGTCACTTCATACGTCATACAGACGTCGAAAATGAGCGTTTCAAAAATGCTTTAATACGAACGCTTAAAAATGAAAAAGGACGTTTTTCAAAGATCTCTATATGAACATTCACTGGACTTCCTTCAAAGAATCCAACACCATCCAATAGACTTATTATACAGGGTGGTCCTTCGGGAATGACATCGATTGCTTATGGGAAAACTGTGAAAGGTAAAAATTTGAAAATTTGGCAACATAGCAATGTCGATGGGGGACATCTAGGTAAAATATTTTCAAGATGGCGGCATTTCCGGTCATACCGGAAGTTGATACCAACTCGGTTATTTTAAATAGAACACCCCGTATATAAATGTATTTTTGAATTCTACATAAAATTCTGAGCAGATTTCATGTAATATACCCTATACCTAAGTTCAACTGTTTTGGAAATATTGACAGTTGAAAATTGACTTTTTGCAACTTTGACAGGCTGTAAAACCTGAACAATTAATTTTAGAGGAAACCCGATTTGACATTCCTATC